GCTCCCAATCCCAATCCCATCATTCCCACCATTCCCATCATTCTGTTATTCCCATTATTCCCACCTCCTTCCCACTCCGGGCCTTGTCCAGCTGTCCCATCATTCCCACAATTCCCGTTATTCCCATTACCATTCCCATCACTCCTTTTCTGCTCCATGCCCTTTCCAGCTCTCCCAGCAGCTTCCAATCCCACCATTCCCATTATCATTCCCACCATTCCCACCATTCCTGTTATCATCCCCGTTATCATCCCCGTTATTCCCATCACCTCTTTCCCGCTCCGTGTCCGTTCCAGCTCTCCCAGCAGTTCCCAATCCCACCATTCCCGTTATCATTCCCGTTATTCCCATCACCTCTTTCCCGCTCCGTGTCCATTCCAGCTCTCCCAGCAGTTCCCAATCCCACCATTCCCGTCATCCCCGTTATCATTCCCGTTATTCCCATCACCTCTTTCCCGCTCCGTGTCCGCTCCAGCTCTCCCAGCAGTTCCCAATCCCACCATTCCCATTATTCCCGTTATCATTCCCATCATTCCCGTTATCATTCCCGTTATTCCCATCACCTCTTTCTCGCTCCGTGTCCGTTCCAGCTCTCCCAGCAGCTCCCGCCGTTGTTTCCCGCTGTTTTCCAGCAGGGATTTCATCCGTCCCACTCCGCGCAGCGCCGCCTCCAGCTCCGCGTCCACCGCCCGGCTGCCCGCCGCCGACAGCTCTGATCCCGAAAAACATTCCCAAACATTCCCAAAAATTCCACATCCCAAAAAATTCCAGTGCCCGGCTGCCCACCGCCGACAGCTCTGAGCAACCCAAAAACCATTCCCAAACATTCCCCAAAAAATTCTGTCCCAAAATATTCCAAATCCCAAAAAATTCCACATCAGCAAAAAAATTCCATCCCCCAAAATACCATCCCAAAAAATGAAACATCCTCCAGGATTAAATTTCCCAGAAAATTAAACATCCCCGAATTAAAACAGCCAAAATTAAAACCCCCCAAAAATTAAACATTCCCAAAAAAATAAATTTCCCAAAAAATTGAACATTCCCAAAAAAATAAATCCCCCAAAATTAAACATCCCTAAAATTAAACATCCCTAAAATTAAACATCCTGAAAATTTAATCCCCCAAAATTAAAACGCAGAAAAAATTAAATTTCTCCCCAATTTAAAACACCCCAAAATTAAAATCTCCCCAAAATTAACCCCCAAAAATTAAACATCCCCCGAAATTAAATCATCCCCTAATTAAACCCTCCCCGAAATTAAAACACTGGAAAAGTTAAAATTCCCCCAAATTAAATCCCCAAAAAATCAAAATCCCCCCAAAATTAAATCCTCAAAATCAAAACTCCCCCTAATTAAACCCCCCCAATTAAACCCCCTCAAATTAAAACCCCCAACCCCCCACCAATTAAAACCCCCAAATCAAAACCTCCTAATTAAACCCCCTAATTAAATCCCCCCAAATTAAACCCCCCTAATTAAAACCCCCCAAATTAAAACCTCCCTAATTAAATCCCCCTAATTAAAACCCCCAAAATCAAAACACCCCCAAAATCAAAACCCCCCTAATTAAACCTCCCTAATTAAATCCCCCCAAATTAAACCCCCCAAATTAAAACCTCCCAATTAAATCCCCCAAGTTAAAACCCCAAACCCCCCCAAATTAAAACCCCCTAATCAAAACCCCTTAATTAAACCACCCCAAATTAAATCCCCCTAATTAAAAGCCCCAAAATTAAAACCCCTCTAATCAAATTCCCCAAATTAAAACCCCCAAAATCAAAACCCCCCCAAATTAAATCCCCCCAAA